TGTGTGTGTGTGTGTGTGTAGTTGGAAGTACCTCCTATCAGATAATATCACATTTTTACTGAAATTGTTTCTAGATTTAAAACAAAAAATGTTTTTGTAAAATGCACGAAAATGGAGTTCGAAGAAAATAGATGCCAAAAGCGACATACCTATTGGAATTTATATAACATGTCGCATATATGATAATATTTGATAATAAATAGTTTATTGATGCATTTAATGGTTGAATAATATTCATTTATTCAATATAATGTTATAAAAGGGAAATATAATTAAATAAATACATATCTTTTTTTCTATCTTTTCCTTTTCTTACATATTTTACATATGTTATATTTTTAAACTAAATAAAATTAAACTTTACAATAAACAAATGTTACAATGGGAGGTTATTAATCAAGTTTTGTTAGTTACAGAGTATCGCATACTATTGGTATATCACTTTAATACATATTCTTATAAAAATTTTCAAGTTATACAGTAAAAAAGTAATGAAGGTAAAAATATTCAAAAAATATTTTTGCAAAAACCAAATCCATGTAGAAGAACTTAATATTGAACAAAATGATAATTATCGCTATTTAGTCTACGTAATTCGTCAATAAAAACCATACAATTAATATTTGCGAATTTCTAAAACTCGATATTTGCTAATTTAGCATACAAAGGAACAAGAAATATACCAAGTATGCATTTTTTATGACTTAACTGATAAAACGGATTACATTTATATTAGTTTCGACAAAATACAACATTTAATATATGAGATATAGAAGTATGTCGCTTTAGGAGGCTTATGCCTATTTTCCTCTGTACTTATTATTCTATCGCATTCGCTTTACAATATTTATTTTCCTGTGTAAAAAAATTTTTTGTGTATAACAGTTTATGCGCTTATACTATGCCTACGTGCTAATGCGAGTATGATGGGTATGACAGGTCTAAAAGGCTGTGGTATTCTCGCGATGTATTCGCTACTGGATTGTAATGTGATGGGAGGTTATCTTCTCTTTTTTATTTTTCTTGCCAGTATGTTATTATAATTAGGATTATGAATATTGTTATGCTGAGTGCAGTGGTATAAACTATACTTAGATAATTTGACCATGGATTTTTGTATTCTTGCAGATTTTTGTGTATCTGAGCTAGTTGCGTTTTCAAGTTAAGTAATTCGGATGAATTGTGTGATATTCTTGTTAAATTTAGATTTGATGTTGCGATCATATTTTCTGTTGTGTTTTCTTGTATAATTATTAGATTAAAATTTGGTATATATACCCATACAGCACAGAAGCTTGCAGCAACATTACTACAACGTTGCAAGATTGCATATTGCAGTGCAATGTTGCAGAGACATTGCAGTGACATTAATTTGCAATATTACTTTAGCAATATTGCAGCACTATTACAAAAATATGACGAATATTATATAATTTTTTTACTTATTTACTAGTTATTTTTGTTACTTGTATTTCAAATTCAGCAATATTTCACATCAATAGTGCTTATAGAATAGTACTCAGAATAGTACTTGTTAGTGGCAGTCATTAATACTAGAATTTATTTTATTACATATTTCTTAAACTTCTTATACCCGTTTTTTTCGGAGAAAATATTTTCTTTGGATTTAATATTCGTACTTACTTAATTTTGTGGTTTTTTGTTACATTAAAATATTATATTTTTAAACGGAATATCATTTTTTGAAATTTGATGAAAATAAAAACTTTTATTTCGTTCAAGGAAACCATGTCATTTGATGAAACAACATTATTGTTTTAAATAGTATTTTATAAAAGTTTCTTTCAAAATTTAGTAATTCAATTTATTTAATTTGAATTTTCTTGGACTTTATTTTTTTATTTGGATTAATCATTATAACATTCTGTTAAAAATCTAAAAGTAATTATCAGTGGTTCACTACATTACATCATTATTCATCGCATATCGAATATTGTTGCATTGTTTCAATATCTATTAGTAAATTATCCAACGAACACCAAGTAAAAGTTATATAACTATTATTTGGTGTTTACTAGGTGTATTATAATATACTGTGAACACTATAACGATAAATTATATAAACACAAGTCGTAAGAATATCGTTGGAGTCATTGGGAATCGCCGCGTGCCGCTCGATCGTCAGGTTAAGCAACACTTTAACGGAATCATAGATGGGGGGTGACCGATGGTATACCGCTTGGGATCGAAATTATCGAAGGAGGATTCACAAAAGTTTGGAGTGTGTATTGACAATCTTCGATACGTAATAGTTTATAAGACATAAGAAAATTAGGAATTATAAATATATTTTTGTAAATATTATGATTTTCTCATTTTTCACATTCGCACAATACTTCTCAGTATTTGATTACTATCAATATTTAATAGTGATTTTATTATCAGTATTCACTAGAAATTAAATACTGACGAAAAAATTACTGAATTATTGGTAATATATAATCACTAATAATTTTTTAGTATTTATTAGTATAATATTCCTGTAAGGGTGTTATCTGGGATTTTACTTTGTATAATAAAACATATTACATATATATTGCATTGCAATGTTGCTGCACAGCTGCGTTATTATATTGCCGCAAGCGGGCATTTTACCGTTGCTGCAACGTTGCAGTAGCATTGCAGCAACGTTGTTGCAATGTCGAATATTGCAAAACAATGATGCTGCTATGTTGCTGCAACGTTGTTGTGCTGTATGAGTATTTCTAATACTTTATTTGATAATGTTCCTTGTGATTGTATTATTATGTTTCCTATGGTTAGTTTACATTGTTGTTTAAGTGTAATTATTTCTGTTTTTGTTATTGTTTCTTGGTATCTCTTGTTCTAACAATATATATGTAGTTTCTGTGTACATAGCCAAGTGTTTTTGCCTTTTAAAGGAATTAAAATTGCGTTTTCTAAGTTGAGGTGTTTTGTTCTACATATTTCG